CCCCCCCCCCTTGACGCTGGATCTGAACGACATCGTCCGAGCCAAACGAGTCCACCCCAAGATGAATTCTCGCTCTCGTTACGGAAACCAAGTTTTTACCGAGAATTCAATAAACTGAGTATCGGGTCAAGGCGGTGTTGTCCGGGTGTTCCAAATCTCGATTCTCGAACGACGGCTCAGATACCGAGAGAACAAGTTCTGAAAATCACGCGACAGCGACTTGAGCATGTCGCCCCGCAGCCCACTCGTGGATCTTCTCAAAGCTTCTACACACCCTCAAGACATCCGAATCGGCCTTCAAGGAGCCATCTTCTTGTCGCTGGAAGATCCCCACGCTCGTGTCCCCGACACACATGATTGTCTGTCGCAGCAGATCGACGCAGTGTTCTGGTCCGAGATGAAATGGGAGTCAGTCGATGTTGTCTCAGTCTTCAATCGGTCTCCTTGTCTTATGTGGGCAAGACGGCTCGTGGAACATACCAAGGTGGCCCATTTTCTTCGTGTCCTTGGTTCCGTCCGGATAGGTCACCCATCCGAATGTCTCGGGGTACAGACTCTGACGAATACGATCCTGAGCATACAGTTAGAGTTACTAATACATCTCCCGCGGGAGGCGGCCGGTCATGTTACTTACCAGGCAATGTAACTCGTGGAAGACTTCCAGGATCATGACGTGCTTATCTGGATGGCCCTTGATATTCGAAGTCTTTTGAGGGAGGAGAGCATTCTCCTCGGCGGAAATGATGCTCGGTCCCGCTGTTGCGAAGTATGTCAATTTCTCGGCTATCCCACGATCGATCCGAGGGAAGGTTTCGTCACGAACAATATTGGTACAGATCTAACCACAGTTCGTTCGTGGCGTTGCTAGACCCAACGTATGCCTTTGCGTCAGGGTCATTGCTGAACGCAAAGCCTCCTTTGATCAATTTGATTTCATGTTCAATGTGGTCGTTGACAGGAGCTGGATACACCGCGAGTTAGTGGCTGGAGGCTCTCTATGACGCGCTCGACGGGCTAATTCTCACAGTATAGTTGGAGCATGGGATCATTAATCTGTCCCTTTCCGGCCCGCCGATGTAGAACAATCACCGCAGGAACGAGGATGAGGATGGCGAGGTGAACAATGGCGGTGTAAAGTGATGGATATGGACATTTCCGATGAACAGGTCTTTTCTCAGTATGATATAACGCCTCGTCTACGCCGTCAGAAAGCGAGTCGCGGTAAGTCAACAACAGGCTCTTCGACGACGACTCTGCCGAGTCCATTGTGAGGCGAGATGAGATCTCTGTATCTACAGAAGCAAGGGAAAGAGGCCTTTGGGGCTGGGCAAGGTAAGAGCGGTGGATGTTTGAGATGCCAGTCTGTCACAGGGGAGACAGTCATCTCTAAAAGCTTCCTGGGGTCCTCGATCCTCCTCCTACGCAATGACTCGATACCACACCTGGTCACAATATCCCGAATACCTAGACAAGTTACCACTTCGGAATTCAAGACGCATTGAGGTACAGGCAGAGGTGGTGCCGTGAACTGGACGAAGGATGGTGGATCCCGCCTGCTATGCTGCAGTACACTCACGAGCCACGCACCGCAAGCTAGGACTGCGCTTGTGTCATCCCTGGCTTTTCTTTGAATACTACTGGCGGTCGATGGTCAACCTCAAGCCGTTTCCTTGAGCTTCTTACCTTCGAACTCACCGCCTCGTTCTCAACGCACCTGCAATCAGAAAGGAATGCCGAGAGCTCGATCCTCTTTACGTAAAGCACGGACCGCTATACGATGCGTCGTGCTTCGTTCACTTTTCCGTTAAAGGTGATCTCCGCAAGGAGAAAAAGGGCACTAACTATACGCGATAGCCAGCCCGAATGGTATCCTGCTTCTTCGTCATGCCAAGTTACCAGCTTCACGTTCCTGCCATCTATAGAGTCAGCATGCCTCAAGCGATTTCATGGCTCTCCTCAAGCTGCACAACGATGCATTTTGGTCACTTTCCATACTTGCCTGGACACCGTTGGGCCCTCGGGAGTCGGAATACGAATTCATCGATATCTGAGCCGTATTGAGGTGGACAGATCTGAGAGCGGGGACCGCTCCCTGCACCCGAACCCTTAGTGCTTATGAACAATTCCAACATTTAAGACTTTAGCTCTCTGGGGATTGTGCCTTATAAGGAGACACGGCGCATGGGAACTCCAAACCTAGCGCTTATTACTGTGACCTAGCGCTTATCACGGTGGATAGAAAACATAGCCCGAAGTAGAAGGTGGTTATACCGCTAATCCCACTTTAACGTCTATCGAGCCGAAGAGTACTTCCTGGCAGCGTCTAGAATCTATGCTTGTCGGTGCTCCGTGAGTGCCAACATTCCGCTGCACGCGGGTGAAAAGTACGTGCTGACTGTCTGTTGATCAATTACTCATCTTTGTCGAGGGAGATTCCTCGAGAGATGTTCTAGATTCTTGGGACACGACGACATATGACCCCGCCCCCTCCCCCCTGGGCGACACTCCAGAGTAGATTTCCACCGACGACTGGCTTGCTCAAAATCTAAGGAACTTCCCCGTATAGTCCCCGATCCACCGTCCTTCTGATTCTCCACTTTCTCGCCTACTGACGCTGAAGTTTCGAGCTCTCTCCGGAACGATGCCCCGAATACCTTCAGGATTGAGTCGTGCAGTTTGTAGTGTGAGAGACGGAGACCAACCTGCATCGTAAGAGCGGTGCTAAACCCATTCCTGAGCGTCGTCCGAGTATCGACGTCGAGAATTTGGCACGGGATCAGTGCTGGGGGTTGGCGGGAGGATTTCTCCGATACCGCCACTGTTGGGAGGACGTCGAGGAACGGATATCGTTACCCAGGTAGGACGGACTGGCCAAAAGTGGAAATACCGAGCCTCACTGTTGAACTCGAGTATAAAGAGGCGAGATGATCGAGATGAAGCCGTTCGTCTCGGTCTCTCAAAGCTTTCCAGCGACATCAAACTGATATTTGCCCAGAGTTTCACCTCCTTTCAATACCAATTCCAAAGTCCCGCAGCCCGCTACCATCATGCGGTCCTCCACGGCATTTCTGGCCGTTGTGTTAGGCGTCCAGCTGGTTGCTGGCCTTCCAATCATTGTACGTCCAAAGGAATCTCTATCCCAGTGTCCGTTTGCTGATGACAAAAGGGCGGGCCTCAGCCAATCTCTGCCCTGATAGTGAAACGTGAGCCCTCCGAGAAAGGTTCTCTGACGGCAGACTGGTTGGAGAAGCGCGAACCTTCTGAGGCGGGCTCATTGACTGCGGACTGGCTGGAAAAGCGTGAACCCTCGGCGAAAGGTTCGTTGACGGCAGATTGGCTAGAAAAGAGAGAGCCCTCCGAGACGGGGTCTTTGACGGCAGACTGGCTTGAAAAGCGTGACCCTTCCGAAAAGGGCGCTCGGACCGCAGACTGGCTGGAGTGAAGAAGACGGAGAGGCTTCCAATGAGTCCCGGCTCAAGAGAAGCGAGAGGAGAAACGAGAAAATGCGGACAGCAAAGAATTTTGTGGTTAGTAGAATGGCTCGAGGTTCGGGCAGTGATAACCGTACGATGTGCTGACTCTCAGCCGTCTGGTTAGTCTCTAGAATATAGAAGTGTGTCACCCCTTGATCCTGAACAGCGTGACGAGATCGCAGCACAGGCCGTGCACACCTGCAGCGCGAGGCATGCTGGCTGGCACGACGATTCCTGTGCATCAGGCTTTTCTTTCTATTGTGCCAGATCATCAGCAAAGCCGACCTTGTCGTCGCTGAGGGGATGGAGCGGTTTATCAGCTCAGATGGTGGACGGAAGACACCAAGCTCTCAAGCAGTGGTATTTCTGTATTTATATTTCTGTATTTATGAATGAAAATTGGTAGTTCCAAACCATGCATATTCATTCTGATCACCGACCATAGCTATGGATGGTGAGCAAAGCGTGAATAAAGTCGAAGTACCTATTGCGTATGTCCTACGCAGGGCATTTCGCCATGCCGGGACGTCGATCAATAGCTGGCTAGACACAATTGTTGCCTCCCTGACGTTCTTTGCCTCAAATTTCTGATCTTGCTCGTCTGTCTTCAGACTTCTGCCGCTTTAATTTAACTCGTCGTCTCTTCAAAGCTGTCTTCTCTTACACGATGAAGTTGTGCCCGTCAAGTTTCACTCTCTAGATGTCATTGACATTGCCAGCACAGTAAGATAGTGCTTCGTAGGCAATGTGATCGTCTTCTGTCAGAAAACACCTGTGTACAAGGTGCAAAAGGTGCAGGGAAATAGGTTCGTCCGGCTTTCCAGAACAAACATCGAACCTCCTCGATTCTCTCGTAAGCTACAAACCGGGAGTTTCTGACATACGCCATATTACCTTTAATGCATTGATCTTGTTCGCCCTCATCAACTCAAACGCCTCCAAAACGTCATACATGCCTTTCCCGGACAAATACCTAACCCTAGCCGGTTCATACTCTTTACCGACATTTTCCATCGTCTAAGCCATTATGGCTCTCAATTTCCAGAACCTGGATGACTATGATGTTTATCTCCATTGTGGAACTTAAAGTCGTCGCTTTTGAATGTTTTCAGATCATGGATTATGCCGGCGATAGCCATCTCAGCACAGTGGTGTGCGCTTGGCCCGGTCAGCGGCAAGGCGAATATGATTGACCCACCAGGAGCCACGGCCTCTTCCAAAGGTGCGATGTCCACCCAGACAAAGTCGAGAGCGTGTTTCAAAGACTGGTTGGCTGATATGATGGATTTGATCTTGCTGACGACATCTTTATCTCGCCAATCAAAGGTGTAGTGAGCTTTCGAGCCCTTGAGATAATCGTGTTGCTGTGTGAAATAGTTAGCCGATGGTTATAGTTAGGTGACTGAGCTGGCTCTCGTACGCATGGCGAGGCAGTACAATGATCGGGTTGCAACCACTAAATTTCGCAAATTCAATTGACTTGCCTGTATACCGATCTAACTGGGTCCTCCTCAAAGAGGGATTGGCTAATCGCGTCGCTCCTCCTATGGAAGGGCTAGAGGAGTCTGCATTTGGTTGTAAAGAGCATCGCATGCAATGCACGGGGTCAAGGGAATAGTGGCTGCTTCGTTTTCGCTCAACACACTTTCATCCACTTCCAGGCCGTTGCTGCCAGCGCAAGAAAATATTCCTGAGACCCTCCCCATTTAGCTTTTTTCCTGTCAGAAGAGCTTCAGACACCGGATCAGAAACAAGACTTACGTGGTCCAATTCCTCTCGTGAAAGTCATAACTTTATCGCCGACCTGAAAGCCGGACGCTTTGGAGCCGACCTTAACGATTTCGCCAGCGACATCGAAGCCTTCGATTGTGTTGACGGCACCGAAAGCCTCGGGATGCCTACATCACGCTGCCATTCAAGATGTCTGGGAACTCTCCTGTCCAACCTACCGAGGGACCTGGTAGACGAGGAGAAGGTAGAGGACACCTACTTGTAATCTCCTGGATTCACGCCAACGCATATTGTCCTCAATAGTAACTCTTCGGCCGATGGCTTATATCCTCCTTCTACTGTCTTGATCTCCTGGGTTGCGTCATCGTTGATCCAGGTAGCTTTGTGAGGCATGAGGTGGTATTTGCCTTGGAAGGCGTATATGCGAGGCTTGTCCTGTGGGAGCTATCTGTTCAAAAGAGATGTTTTCATGGAAACTTGTGCCTGACTTAAAGACTGAAGGATCATCCGATGCGCGAAGGTGGTTTCCGGAACAGAGGATAGGAGGACCACGCTGCTGTATAATGCGGTAACTGGGTGGTCGCCTTGTGGATACTTCTTTGGTCGGGAATACGGTATGGGGTACTCAGTGCTCTGTGGGGAAGGCACGAAATGGGCATGAGCTTTTCGAGGACTCCCACACTAGGAGTTGAAAGGCGACTAGCCTAATTAGTTAGTGAACCCAGAATTAGTGGCTCTCATCAGCCACGGTTACAGCAAATTTCGCGCCGCTTAACGAAATCGACGATATTAACTATATTAAGGTCTCGATAGACAAAAGTAAACTCTGTTCAGCCACTTGTTAACTCTCGCTGGCCATGACCCGGACACGGCCTGCCTCGTCTGTGTATCGAGCTCTGGGCATTGCGACTAGGATAGGAGTAGTCTATCACTCCTCGCTCTTCTTCGAGCGAGGAAATGACGCTTGCTGGGGGCCGATCAGTAATAGTTCTGCCGTTTTGCTCACGCTGGCCGGACCAGCTGATGGCAAGATGAGATGGGTGATAATGTAATATGGATGAAGAGAAAAGACACAATTGGGAAAGGTTAGGTCCCAGGCTGCACGTTGCTAAGAGAATCCGGTAGAGCCGCGAGAAGTTGATACATTTTGCCATTCCCTCACAGTCTTCGCCTAGGTGTAGCGACGGCCTAATTCTGATTCCAAAGGCCACAGCCAGAGGCTATCACATCCCTGGACAAATTTAATTCTATCCCAGTGCCATCACTCGCATATAGATTATCTTAGAACTTCTGCGCGATCGGCTGTACATGCCACCAGGCACGAATCTTCTTCCCGTAGAAGTAAAGTGGTACGGTGAGAAGCGTAAGGCCCAGCTGAATACCGCCGACGGTGTAGAAAAAGTATGTTGGACCTTGCATAGTGACCCAGTCGTTCAAGATATCTATGTGAAGGTCAGGACCAAATCGAAGCAATTCAGTAGACGATAACTCACATGAGAAGCCAAAGTACAAGAAGTTCTTGAAAATCATGGTGAATATGAAAACGTCGATGCTGAGTGCCCTGAAGGCGTCGACCATGTATGTGCCGGCGCAGACAGCCGAGAACTGACATCCGGCCACGGTGATGCCATAGCAGACTGATGCCGCGACCACGCTACCTCCCACTTTCACAACATGGCCCATCAGGTAGTAGCCTAGGGCCGCGCAGATTGCAAGGCCGATCATCAAGAACAATCGGAACTCTGGCTCGTAGATGCCACCATTACGGCGACTCAGCCATTTCACACTCGAATCGGAGATGAGCCCGCAGACTAGATTTGCCAGCGTCCCAAGCACAACTGGGCCTCCCGACATGTAGCCAAGCTGTTTTGGTGTCAACAGAAAGGGTGGTGCTGAGAAGATCTGAGCAGTCACAAGCGAGATACCAACCACCCAAAGCACGGGAAAGGCCACTGTCAAGGCAGACCAGATCACCGCCGGGTTGATCACCACTAGGAATGGGGAGATAGCCATCTTCACGATTGGAGCAGGCGAATATGTGCCGTTGATTGGAGCCAGGCGCCGATGCCATGGAAAATCGTGTGGACCGGCCAATGCGTTGGCTTCATCAGCATGTTCAATCTGCGTATCATTCCATACCTCGGCATCGGCGGCCTTCATTTCCTCGATTATGTGCAGATTCTGCCCGATTCAATCAGCTTCGAATCAGAGGTCAAGGGGTCAGTATCGTACGTACCTCGTGGGAAGAAACATCGACCTCATAGATCGCGTCTCTGTTGAAAGCGGTCTCCCAGCCAAAGAAGATTGAGAGCAACCACAAGACTCCAAGGAACAGCGAATAGATCCAGAAGATCCAGCGCCACCCAAGCACCTCTTGGACAGTACCAGCCACAAGGACTGGTATATTCGTGATTGCCGACAGGGAGCAGATGTAGACGGCCATGCGTTTCCCTCTCTCATGCACGAAGTAAAGATCTCCAATGACAGAAAAAACGATACTCTCAAAGAAGGACATGCTCAAGCCTTGCATCACACGAGCACCGAGAAGTGACCCATAAGAATGCGCACAAGCTGCCCAGAGTGAGCCGCCGAAAGCAAAAGTCATGGAAAGCAGGAATCCCGGCCGTTTCCCCCACTTTCGACACAAACAAGCCATAAAGATTCCAATTGCACCAGTGGCACACAAGTTGTATCCGCTCAACAGGGAGACATCGGTAAAGCTAACTTTAAATTCCATCATGAGGGGGACAACTACGGGCGAGAGAATTGGTCCAAGCCTGATTTGTGTTAGTCCGACGTCTTATCATATAATGGGTCTGATGTTTAGCACGACCTACCCAATCGTTGCAATAGTGCATGCACCATAGAGTAGAAGGATGCAATCTCGCTGCCACAAAGGCCAATTCAAAGGGTCTCTGGGATCATGGGAGGGCTGCGGGATCAAGACGACATGGGCATTGCGACCGGTGCCCTTCTTCAAGAACTGCGTTGTATCGACGGCCGCCTGATCATGGACATCGAGCAATGTGGTTCCGGGCACATGCTGAAGGGAGGTTTTGGGTTCCAAGATACCGAGACCCATGATGATGGACTTTGTCAATAGATACTTGGTTTCCTAAGGACGTTGGGGCTTTCGACCGCGAACGCGTGCCTTCCTTTATATCTTCTTGCCTATCATGGAAGGGATCCAACCCACATCGAGTCTACCATTTTAGGATGCCGTTACCTGGGTTTGGGGTAGAATTGAGGGGGTGTATCATGCCCCAGGAGGGGCTTAGTGGGTTGCAATAGACGTGCGTATTGACCAGACTGTATTCCATAATAGGCGACCTAACTAGGTTCGGATAGCCTTTCTCTGTTCTCACAGTACAGAGTTAACTTTCAACTGTCAACAAACAGTATCGCAGGACCCCACGGGAAGTAGCAGGGGCAAAATACTACAGAACGACTCATGGGCCGCCCCCATGACCACAGAATGTGGAGGTGGACCGAGACAGGGGCAGTGTCGTAGGCAAGGCTGGAGCATCCCAGAGCACACACAGCACCGTGAAAGGGTGTTACCGTTCTTCCCTCATGAGGCCGCATCAAGATGGTGTTCTGTTGGTAGACCCATCCCTGCCGCGAGTCGCTCTCTTCCCTTCTCAAACAGGTCGGCCTGCCCCTTGCCCATCCAAGCATTCCTATTCTCATGCAGAGGTAACTCGAAATCTACAATCTCTTTCGCCACGTATAGCGCTCGACCTGCCCAGATCAATCACTCACTTCTAAATGGTTGTGACTAGCCAGAAATGCAGGAGAATAACCCCTCCCCCAGGAGCGAAAGAAAAGGGAAAACAAATAAAACTCACCATGAAGGTTTTCATCAGCACATGCCAAACAGAGGGCTTCAGCTACTTCCTTTGCAGTGTTGATTGGCATGCCTTTCCACATCTCGACGACCTCAGAGCTGAATTCGGTCTCTTTTCTCGTGTCAGCACCGTGCCCCGCCAGGCAGTCCATAATTTGGAAGTGCAGCTCACCTGTCATCCAAGGGGCAACTAAATTCACGCGGACATTTGCAGGCCTTGTCATTGCGGCCATGGTACGCATAACTCCTAAAAGCTGCTTGGCTGTTATTCGAGAGCCCTGGTAAGCCTGGAACTATGCCTTACAGCGTGTTTGGCGGCGCCATATCGTACTATCGGAGGCGTGGCAAAGTACCTGGCGCGGTTAGCTTGCGCTACGTACCGTGAAACTCCAGGGCACGGATTTTACGATGCAGCAGAGCCGGTTATGACGAGAGCACCCCCTGGAACGGGATTTTTGGCAAAGTAGTGCAAGGCAAGCTTTGCGGCTGCGGTGGTCAGCTCCAATTTCCAAATATGAGTTTGGAATAATATACTCCTCAGTACGCCGTTCAGATTGACATCTATCAGGCGAAAGTCGGGCGCCTTCAGCTCTCCGTTCTCGTCAACCGCATTGTCAAACAGCATCGGCGGACGCTCAGGGAGGGCGGCATTTGCCAGGACTGCATCAATACTTCCGTACTTCTCAAACGCTGATTTAAATGAAGCCAAGAGAGAATGCCAGTCCGTCACATCTGTCTTCTGGAAGCAGCCTGCCCTGGATCTCGTGTCAGCTAGTGATTCGACGAAGGAATTCACCTTCAAACAACCCGCCGATTTCTTTGATGAGCGATTCTCCTCGTTGGACATCTACATCAGCAATTATAACATTTGCACCGTACCCTGCTCTCCTGTCGTCAGCAATCCGTTCTGATCTAATCACAGGGAGCGGTCAACCATGGAGTAACAACGTCGTCGTGCGTCCTATGCCATTAGCACCGCCTATGAGATGGTCAGCATTGGACAAGCACAAAACCAATCGAGCTGCAAAAGACCTGTGATTAGGACATTCTTGCCTCGCAACCGGGCTAAAAGATCTTGCCGAAGCTCTATCTTGGCCATTGTGTTGAAGATAATTAAGAAGTAGTCAAGTCAACTAATATTCTGATGACCTGATTGCTTTTTTTTTCGGCTCCGCGCAGCGTAAGGTATCTGAAATTTGACTGAAGATAGGTGGACATCTATCAATCCGAGACCTTCTCAGGGATAACACGGGGGATATATGGTATTTCTACCGCCGCGCTCGAACCTTTCCTGGCTGTAAATGACGTGTCAGGTGAGCAATCAAAGCCCGAGATCGGATTTCTAACATGTGCTGGTCCCGGAGACTAAACGGGAAGGCCTGGCAAGAGGCAATTCGCAGAGAGCTTAGTGGGAGCCGAACATGTAGTTACCATAACGTCGAGAATGTGGGGTGATGGGCAGAGCACAACCACGTTTTGGAGCGGGAGCCGGATCGACCAGATTTGTACAAATCGGGTAAGTGGGATGTCCAAAGGCTATTAACTTGAATTTAGAGGACTTCATACCTGTTAATGTTATGTTGAAATCATCTGTCTGAGTTCTGTGAAATACTGGCCAGGTTTTCTCTGTCCCGGACCTGCCAGCTCACCATCGGTACAAGTCAAGGCCGGAAACTTCAAGTCATCATCCGCGTGAGCGGCGCAGGATACAACATACGCTTCCAAAGATGACGACGTACGAAGTGCCCGTGGATTTCCGTAACATCAAAGACAAAACCATTCTGATCACTGGCTGTTCTACGGGGATAGGTCGCGCAACCGCGAAGCTTGCATATGGTGATGGCCCCCATCAGTGCTCTTGTCCACATTGGAAAGCAGGTGGCTAACTGCCCAACCTAGAGCATGGCGCTAAACTTGCGCTGGCTGATTGGAATGAAGTTGAAGCAAAGAACCTGTTAGCAGAGCTTAGGAATACAGAGTATGTGACACGGCCCCCGGTTTTATTGACTTCTCCGCCTAAGAACCAAGCCTGACAGCCGCCTACTTTTCTACAAGACCGATGTGTCCAAATGGGATAACATTCTCCAGGTGTTCCAAGGAGCATGGAAGAAGTTTGGAAAGATCGATGCCGTAATCTCCAACGCCGGGATCAACCAGGAGAACCTCCTGGACGAAGAAATCGACGAGGCAACGGGGATGTTAAAGGCCCCGAGTTTGAAGAATCTCGAGGTCAATCTGGTCGCTCACATATATGTCGTCAAATGCGCCGTCCATTATTTCGCAAAAGCCCCTGGGAAGCGGTCGCAAATCATCATGACGGGATCGGCGGCGAGTTATATCGACACTTCACCCCTGTATCAGTACTGCGCGGCAAAGGCCGGACTTCTAGGGCTCATGAGAGCATTTCGAACGCGACTGATATCCAAAAACATCACCATCAACATGATAGCCCCCTGGATGACAAGTAAGTCTTGCCCTTGAAATTTTCCCCTAGGATCCTCAAGGCCAACGTCAATGTAGTATCACCGATGTTGCCGCAAGCTATTGTAGACATGTGGGGCACTCTGCCTGCCAACAGTCCCGCGGGAGTCGCGCATGCACTGCTGCTCCCCGTCGTCGATGAAAGCATCAATGGCAAGGTATTCTTCGTGGCCGGGAACAAGATCACGGAGCTGGAGGATAAGATTCACGAATGTCAGCACATATGGATGGGCGCGCAGCTGAGCGAGGATGTAGATGAAGGGCAACGGCGACTAGTCCCAGCGGGCATTCATCCCGAACAAAAGTGAGCAAACCGTTCCCGCTCTGCTAGCTTGCAGCTAGATCGATGACATTATTGAATGTATATCGACGCATCCCCAATGTGTGGTATGCCAGAGTCCTGTATTACTCTCGTCTCGCCCCGCGCTGCATGATTTTGATGGGTCAGAATGGAACGCAAGGGCCAGTAACGCTCCCAAATTGAGAGGTCCTTAGGCTTCCATTACTTACTAACACAGAATCCAAGCTCGGAATGCCGTCTATGTGTTGGGCATGGGGAAATAGCTTGCTCGTGAGAGTGTTTCATGTGCTGTCTCTGGTGGGCTACGTCGTTCTCGATGAAAACATGCGCGGGTGCCACCGCGAGAAGGAATATAGTGACCAGTACAAGGATAAGTGGGCTGGCAGAAGACTACATTCTGGTGATTCACAAAGGGCCCGCAGATGGGCTAGTTTTCGAACGAGGTTTAACGCTGCCAGTGCGGCAATATCCTACTAAAACACTCTTGCGTTTGTTGGACTTCCCGTGAAAGGTTGGCTCGCTTTAAGGCCAACGCGAGGCCTGGTCTCCTTATGCCACATCCGACAAGAACCATCTGCGAGAGTCAGCGGCACAAAGACTGCAGCGTTATGGATCACTGGCCGTTGAAGGCCATCCAAGGCCTTGTGCCATGGGCAACGTTGCCGAGGTCACCACAGCATTTCCCAAAGAAGGAATTATGGGTTGTAAGGAAGAAAATTGCACCGAGCGTGTGGCAAGATGCATGACGACCCCTGGCCTATTAGTTGTTAGTTGGCGGATTGGAAAGAGAGGTGTCTGGCCCCACCAGGGTTTGACCATTAGATTGGACCATTTCTAACCCGGGGCGTCTTGATAGGTCGTTCGGCTGACCTCTACTCCGCCTGGGTAGGACCGGGCGGGGGGGCGGAGGCGGGGGAGGGAAAAGGCTGGGGGAATGCCGTGGCCGGCCCCTCTGCCACGCTGGGTTTCCCCGAACGCTCACCCTCGCAAGCACTCGCCCTCCAAAAATCTCAGGCTCACTCCACGCCCACTCATATATGTATATTAGAACAGCCGAATTCCCTATGCCTCAGAACATCAAAACTGCTGCTGGCGGCAAGTGTGGCACTATTGTTTTTGATGAGCCGCCTTTCTCGAGTCGACGACATGTGTGCAATGTCTGCTCCAAGGCCTTTAAGCGAAGTGAGCATCGACTTCGCCACGAGCGTGGGCACAGCCAGGAGAAGCCATTCCCGTGCAGATACTGTCACAAGCGCTATGCTAGGAGAGACCTTGTTGTGCGACATGAGAAGACACTGCATGCTTCGACATATACTGCTGCCAATGAGGCAGACCGCAATGGCCCCGGGAACAAACGCGCTCGCAAGGACACTTCGGTTCGGGATGGTCAAAGTCATGAACGATTGGCCGACGTTGATGAAGGGCCTTCACCAACTGGCAGCTTGACGGGCGAGGACAGTGCTGACAACGCAACCCCGGTGCGCGGCGGCGTTGAATCAACATTGGATTTTGCTGCCGGCCTCCATTCTTCCGGGATGAACCAGGGCTTCCGCATCGTACTCGAACCGTCGTCCCAAGAAAGAACAGCCGGTAATGCAACTAAAGAATCATTTCCAGGCAATGAAGGCCTCGAAAAACCCGGCCCTGTCAATGAATTGACCGACCTCTCAGCAAACATCAGCCTCCAGCAAATCATGCCCGCCTCTGCAGCGCACCAAGAAAATCTGCCCGTGCAGAACGGATCGCTCAATGAGCCCAGTATTAACACAGCCCCTCTACCTGATATCACCTTTGCGAACCTTGATTTTTTTGACCCCTTTCTGGGCCTTTCCCACGACGCTCTGGACTTTTCGGGTTCTCATCATGATATCGAACACCTCAGAGCCCTCTCACCGCTGAGTCAACTAGGAGATTCAATGTCACAGCATCGAGAGTTTGCTGTTCGAGATATTGAGACCCCCACCAATGTGACGATTCTGAATTGGCAGCTTCCTCCGCCTAGCACCTCGATCGGTAGCCCTACCCCGCGGATACAGTCACAGGTTCATGCCCTCTCTCAGACGCCGAACCGTATGGATAACTCTACCACCTTGGCCAAATCGTCACCCGACTCGGCAATTTCTAACGCTCCCAGTCTTCCGAGGGTGGTACACGCTTCTCAGGTGAGAAGAGCTTCCTTCGGAATCACTCAAAAGGCAAGGACAGCACTCTATGCGGACTTGGCGGCCAGGTTGACACGAGAGGAGATGTGGGACTTTGATTTTCCCGAGGCGCTTGCACTGGAAAAATGCATGCGCAGCTACACCGATGCCTTTCACGTCCATCTGCCCATTGTTCATATTCCAGCACTCCTCGTCGAAGAAACGCCCAGTCCGTTGATTCTGATTATGTGCGCGATTGGAGCGTTGTACCGTCTCGAGCGGAAATCGGCTACTAGCATGTATCGCAAGGCATCACAGGCGTTCACGCTAAGTATGTCGTCTTGGTTGGCCGTCAATGAGCCTTTGCTAGCTATCGATAACTCCGCGCCATGGCAAAATGAAACAACCCACCCGAAATCTCTTCCTCTCTGGATGATGCAGACGAGATTTCTCCTTGCATTGTTTGGCACTTTGAACGGCAGTGCAGGTTTGATCAAAACCGCCTTCGGATGGCTGGGAAGTCAATGGATCGTGAGGATTCTCATCGCGAATGTGAACACTGAAGAAAGACTGAATATTTTATAGGACTGTCATCTCATGTTGTCGTCCGTGAGCGTCGGCGAAACCGGCGGCGAGACAACGTGGAGAGGGTGGTTAGAAAGGGAGTCTTTCAAGAGGTTTGTTCTCCACGTCCAACCCGACTGATCTCCTTGACTCATTGCGACAGACTCTTCTACGGCGTGGTGATCCTATCGCACATGCTTAGTACTGCATATGGACTAACCCCAGCCTTTTCAACGGCGCAACTTGAATCATTAGAGATGCCTGATGATCAGGATCTATGGGACGCATCTTCAGAAGGTCAATGGCTCTTATTAAAACAACAGCGGTCCAGGACAACGCCACTCAGTCTTGGGGAGGCCGTCGCCAAGCTAATGTATGACACAACAAGCAAAGAGGATACTGATGCCGCCTGGAATTGGTCTCCGTTCGCAACATGTGTTGTTATGCATGCAGTCGCGATGCAGGTCTGGTACATATCGTCCACCAGAGACCTTGGTATGCTACCTAGGGGAAATGGGCTTCATAACCACCCCACAGGCCTGGGCGCCTCAATGCAGACCGAGGCTGCTCTAAACAGGTGCAGAGAGCTCTTAACCAATGCGAAGAGGGCGAATGAGGCGACGTGGAGTGATGAGGATGGGCCGATGCTTTTCAACTGCATGGCCGTCCTCCGGGTGGCATATGGTCGCACGTTTCTGCCCGGTTCAACGCTGGACCGATTTATACTGCTGAGAGAAACAGGTAGCGAGATTGTGGATGCCATTAAAAAGTATTTGTCCATTGATTCGCCTCGCGGTGAATCAATCACCCGGGCAATCACGAGATCGGTTGAAGGACTTTTTGTCCCCGTGCAGGCAGGGGTATTATGGACCGTAAAAACTGCGGCACTCACATGGTGGGTAGACCATGCACTGGCAGGCTGGGACACCGGTACGCAAGTCCCCATCGACGTCTAGACTCAGAAAAGCTCCGAAATGATGTATGAGCTGACCGTATTTAGGGCTCTTCGTGACCCGCTGGATCCACGCGATTGAACAAGAGGAATTGCATAACCGTCCGGTCGACGATTTGGAAAAAAAGACGATGCAGGAGGTGCAACGCCTGATAGAAGAATCTCAGACACCAACTACCAGCTCAGGTTCCTTGGCCGCGGCAGTAGCGAGGTATTGGGCTCTCTTCTTTACCGACACATGGGTCTGGGGTGGTAAGTCTCTTGCAACGTCCAATTGTTCCGATCAAAGTCGCGAAGGCAGCCTTGTTTGCCGTTCTCGATCTACCATCCATATGATCTGGAGATTGAACTTGGCTCGCTGATTGCGTAGTTTGTATAGCTATTCGTGGCACGAAGCTAACACATTTTGTCAGTGACACCACGCATAGGTTTTGTGTTGCAAGAGCTTGCCAGAGCTTACGAAGAATCCTCCATATCCTCGAGGCTGCAAGACCAAGCTGCAGCCTTATGTTTCGCATGAGGCAGCGTCCCCGTCGTGGCTGGAGATAATACTATCAAGCAAAGCAGAGCAAGCCTCCCTCAAAACACATCTTCTTCCTCCAGAAACGCACCAATACATGCTGAGGACTTGGCCGATAGCTCGGTACCTACTTATGCCCCGCAGAACATTCGTGTGACTCTATCTTTTCGGTCCTCTGCATGTTTTACACAGAGGCTACGAGACACCTGCCTGCTGCGGTTTTAACGGCGGTCGCAGCTGATTCTGCGTTGGAGCACACGGATTGTCTTGCTTCAGTGACAATGATTCCAGATGGGACCAGTTTCACTTCCTGCTGGTAGTAAGCTCTCAGCCCACATTTCTGCTAGTACAATACGGAGTAGTCCAGACGGCGCTTAGACGTTCATGCAATCTCATCAATTCAAAAACATTCCACATTCTGCATACCCCTGACCAATGTCCCACATCCCATGGCTCATACGTATTCGTCCTCTTGTCACCCAGAATGATTCAATCGGCATGAGAGCCAGATACCTGCCTATCCATATAGACTCTATTGAGAAGGTGTTTGTAGCCGGCTTGTTGAGGGGGGTGTGAGGGAGGGCCCCCGGGTCCGGGGGGGGGGGGGGGGGGCAAAAGGAAGCTGAGGAGGCTCGCTATATAGCGGATAGTGGGATGATCTACCAAAACGGGACTCGATGACCCTCCACATTTGCTCTCCAGGGATTTCACACCGCCCACTACCCTAAATCCGAGCAGACCACGAGCTATTCAATGCCCGCAATATGTCGGGCTCATAAACAATTGCGATCACTCATTGTCGCAGTGTATTACAACTGCCATGGCATTGA